AAAAAAGGTATGAGGGCGCGCTGCAGAGCATGCAATTAAATAATTCGGTGTAAATAAAGCATAAGGGTGCGCTGCGGAGATTGCAATGAGATAATTTAATGTACATCTGCGATAAGGGTACGGCCGAGCTTGCAATTAAACGATAAGCTGCAGAGAAGTGATAAGGGCTCACTGCAGAGCTTGCAATGAAAAAAAATTGAGTGTGATTCCGTGATTAATTCCCCAGAGACCTTGCAATTAAATAATTTGGCGCACACCTGCGATGAATTCCCCAGAGACCTCGCAATTAAACAATTTGGCGCACACCTGCGATGAATTCCCTGGAGATATTGCAATTAAATAATTCGGCGCACACCTGCGATGAATTCCCTAGAGATATTGCAATTAAAGAATTCGGCGTAAACAAGTGATCCGGGTGCCCAGCAGAGCTTGCAATTAAAGAATTCAAAGCCCCACCACTAACGAGCAGCTGGCAGAGATTTGCAATTAAAACACCGGGTAGGGCTGAGGGGTGGGGGCGGACCCCTCCCATGCAAATCCCCGGCACCCAGCGCCTTTAAAACCCCCCGATCCCACCATGGTGGCACATCCCCAGTCTCCCCTACCCTCCTCTTCACCATGGGCATCCACTTGGCCTCCACCTTCCTCCTCCTCCTCGCAGCCCTGCCAGGTAGGTCCCAGCCCCGCTGACCCCCTCCCCGGGCGCGGATTTGGGGGGCGATGGCGGGAGCGGGCGACTCAATTCTGTCCTTCCTCTCTCCCCAGGGCTGCAGGCGGCCGTGCAGCTGGTGGGGAGCGGAGGGGGCCTCCAGACATACGTCGCGGAGTAGCAGCGGTGGTAGCACATACTACGCGTCGGCGGTCAAAGGGCGCTTCACCATCTCCCGGGACAACTCCCGGAGCACGCTCACGCTGCAGATGAACAGCCTGAAGGTCGAAGACACGGCCACCTACTACTGCGCGAAAGCTGCTCACGGTGGCACCGACCTCATGCGCAGCTGGCGAAAAACCCAGTGTTGGCTGGTTGTCCCGTGGGAGACGGAGGGCGGCGATGCGTGGCGACTCTTTGCCGTGCTTGAGCGGCCGCAGCTGCTGCGTCAGGGTTTTGCTGCAAGCCCAGATCCTTTGTGTGGTGTCCAAGAGCTACTGCATGGAGCACAGACCCTTGTGAAGCACCCAAGAGCCTTTGCATGGCACCCAAGCCCCCTTGCACAGAGCCTGGACCCTTTGCATAGCACCCAAGCCCCCTTGCACGGAGGATGAGACCCTTTGCACAGCACCCAGACCCTTGCATGGTGCACAAGAGCCTTGCAAGGAACCCAGACCCCTTGCAGGGCACCCAAGCCCCCTTGCACGGAGCCCAGATCCTTGTGGTCCATTCAAGTGCCCCCTTGCACAGAGCCCAGACCCCTTGCAGGGCACCCAAGTGCCCTTTGCACAGAGTCCAGATGTTTTACACGTTGCCCAAGAACCAAGATTAGATCCAGATATGGAGATGATTTTGCCATTTCTGGCAAGTTTTGCCAAAATCTGGGGATGCTTTGTCCTTTAGGGCCACTTTTGGCCCCAAAATGGGCCTGCTTTGGCTCTTTGGACCAGTTTCACACAAAATCTGGGCAGGCCTTGTCTCTTTGGATCAGTTTTGCCCCAAATCTGGGAAGGCTTTGCCTTTTATGGCCAATTTCACCAAAAATCTAGGCCTGCTTTGGCTCTTTGGGCCCTTCTTGACCCAAATCGGGGCATGCTTTGGTACTTCAGGCCACTTTCAACCTCAATTTGGGCAGGTTTTGCCCTTAAGGGCCTTTCTCGACCCAAATGTGAGCCTGATGTAGATCTCTGGGCTATTCTTGACCCAAATCTGGGCATGCTTTGGTTCTTTGGGCCAGTTTTGACCCAAATCTTGGCCTGCTTTGCCCTTAAGGGCCTTTCTCGACCCAAACGTGGGCCCGCCGTGGCTCTGTGGGCCTTTCTCGACCCGAATGTGAGCCTGATGTAGATCTCTGGGCTATTCTCGACCCAAATCTGGGCATGCTTTGGTTCTTTGGGCCAGTTTCGGCCCAAATCTTGGCCTGCTTTGCCCTTAAGGGCCTTTCTCGACCCAAACGTGGGCCCGCCGTGGCTCTGTGGGCCTTTCTCGACCCGAATGTGAGCCTGATGTAGATCTCTGGGCTATTCTCGACCCAAATCTGGGCATGCTTTGGTTCTTTGGGCCAGTTTCGGCCCAAATCTTGGCCTGCTTTGCCCTTTAGGGCCTTTCTCTCAAACCCAAGCGGGCCCGTGGCGGCTCTGTGGGCCGTCTTCGACCCAAACGCAGGCCCAAGGCGGCTCTGTGGGCCAGTTTTGACCCAAATCTTGGCCTGCTTTGCCTTTTAGGGCTACTTTTCACTGAAATCTGGGCATGCTTTGCCCATTAGAGTCAGTTTTGGCCCAAATCTGGGCCCGCTGTGGCTCTGTGGGCCTTTCTCCACCCAAATCAGAGACCACTGCAGATCTTTGAGCTATTCTCAACTCAAATCTGGGCATGCTTTGCCCTTTTTGACCAGTTTTGACTGAAATCTAGGCATGCTTTGACTGTTTGGGCCAATTTTGATCCAAATCTGGGCATGCTTTGACACTTCAGGCCAGTTTGGCCCCAAAATCTGGGTGTGTTTTGGTTCTTGGGGCTGTTTTCGACCCAAATGTGGGGCCGCTGTGGCTCTTTGGTCCTTTCTCGACCCAAATCTGGGCACGCTGTGGTTCTTTGGGCCAATTTGGACCCAAATCTTGGCCTCCTTTGCCCTTTAGGGCCACTTTCAATCCAAATCTGGGCATGCTTTGCCCTTTAGGGCCAGTTTTGGCCCAAATCTGGGGCCGTCATGGCTCTGTGGGCCACTGTTGACTCAAATCTGGGGCCGCTGTTGCTCTTCGGCCATTCCTGAGCCAAATCTGGGCCTGCTTTGGCTCTTCAGGCCACTTTCCACCCAAATCTGGGCACGCTTTGACTCTTCAGGCCAGTCTGGCCCCAAATCTGGGTGTGTTTTGGCTCTTTGGGTCATTCTCGACCCCAATCTGGCCACGCTTCTCCTTTTATGACCCGTTTTGCCCCAAATATGGGGATATTTTTCCCCTTTTGCCCATTTTAGCCACAAATCTGGGCATGCTTTTCGTTTTACAACTATTTATACTTTCAGTTTGGGAATGTTTTGGCCCTTATGGCTCATTTGGCCCCAAACCTGGGGGCCCTTTGCCCTTTCTGGCCAGTTTTCACTTAAACATTGGCGTTTCTCAGCCTTTTTAGATCCCCCATTGGGATGCTTTTGCCATTCAGGACTGGGTTTCGGTGCAGGAGGGAGGAGCGGAGCCTGTGGCCGCTCGGGCGTGCGGCCCCGCAGAGGAGGGGGCTGCGCCGGGGGGATTTTGTGTGACCCTGAGGCACCGTGGGTGCTGATGATTGTTGTGTTGATTACCACGGTGGTGCAGGCAATGACAAAAACGGTGGTGGGATCTCAGCTCGGCTCCCGGCAGCGGCTGCGCCCGGGGGGGCCTTTCCCGGGGGACCAGCCCCCGCTTGGGCCCTCTTCCCCTTCCTGCCCCCTTCTGCACCAAACCTGGGCAGCTTTTGCCCTTTTAACGCCAAGTTTTGCAGCAAACCTGGGGGTGTTTTGCCTCTTAAATACCTGTTTTCCCCCCGCTGCGGGTGTCTTCTGCCCTTTATGGCCACATTTGTTCCAAATCTGAGAAGACTCTTGCCCTTTAATATCATTTTTTGCTTGAAGGGGTGATGCCTTTCCTTTTGGGACCATTTTTGCCCTAAATCTGGGCCTATTTTACCCATTATTGTCAATTTTTCCAGCAACTTGGGATGTTTTTCCCTATTTTGGCAATTTCACCCCAAATCTCATGATGCTTTCCCTCTTTGCACCATTCTGAACCCAAATCTGGGCACGCCTTGCCTCCTCGGTACGATTCTGCCGAAAATATGGGAAGGCCTTTCCTTTTATGGCCGTTTTTGCCCCACATCAGGGCGTCTTTTTCTCTTTATGGCCAGTTTTACCTGAAAACTGTGTTTGTTTTCCCTACCTGCCTGCTTTTACAGCAAATCTGGGGTTTTCTTGCTATCTGTGGCCATTTTCCCTATGTATGAGGATGGTTTTGCTTCTCCATCCCTGTGTTGCCAGAAATATGGGAACGTTTTGCCCTCTAAAGCTATTTTTTCAACCAATGTGAGGATGGCATTTCTTTTCTGACCTTTTTTTCCTCCTAAAAATGGGAGGCTTTTGTCCGTTATGGACATTTTAGCAAATGTGGGGATGCTTTGCCCTTTATGGCCATTTCTGCGCCAAATCGGGGGATTCTTTTCCTTTTTGAGCTATTTTTGCCCTAAACCTGGGCACCTTTTGCCCTTTATTGCCCTTTTTCCCCCCAAATCGGAGATGCTGCTCGCTTTTAGCTCCATTCCTGCAGCCAGTGGGGGATGTTGTGCCTCTGAATGACGCTTTGGCCCCAGGACGGGCGTTCCTTGGCCCTTTACGGCCGTATTTGCTCTTTCTCCCCAGTTCTGCCCAACCCGAGGGATGCTTTTTCCCTTCTAGGGTGTTTTTTGCAGAAAATGTGGGGAGGTGTTGTGCTTTATTGCCAGCTTTTAATTAAATCTGGGGTTACTTTTCCCTTGGAAGGGTATTTTTGGGTGCGGGAGGGAGGAGCGGAGCCTGTGGCCGCTCGGGCGTGCGGCCCCGCAGAGGAGGGGGCTGCGCCGGGGGGATTTTGTGCGACCCTGTGGCACCGTGGGTGCTGGTGGTAGTTGGTATGCTGCTGATTTATCACGGTGGTGCAGGCAATGACAAAAACGTTGGTGGGATCTCAGCTCGGCTCCCGGCAGCGGCTGCGCCCGGGGGGGCCTTTCCCGGGGGACCAGCCCCCGCCTGGGGCCTCCTCCCCTTTCTGCCCCCCT